AATATGCACAAAAATGTATGGGTGCACTAGTGTTCCCACAGAAGAAAAATTGGGTGCACAGTTCCAATTTTGTGCACATGCACCCAGTATTTTGAGCCCCGAGCATGCCTTTGGCCCCTTTCTCACGTCCCTGCCATACCACCCGAGATGAGGCATTCGGATAAATCTGTTTGAAGAAATGCTTGTTTGGAATTTTAGTGTTTGCGGCTAGATTTGTACTGGGGCCGCCGTGTCAACATCGGCTATTATAAAACTGCGATAAGGTCCGGATAAGACATGTTGGGCATCACATTCATACAAAAACCCAAAATAAACCTTCGTGAGGGGAGAAAGGAGAATGTAGAAGAGTAGGAGCGGAACTGGCGGGTTTAAGAAGGCTTGTCAAGTACAGTCAAACCTGTACTAGCGGTCACCTTTGTATAGTGGTCACTCGGCCATAGCGGTCAGTTTTTGCCGGTCCCTTGAATTTTTCCCATTGACGTAAGCATTAAGAATCGTGTCTATAGCGGTCACTGTTCAACGCGGTCAGCGGTCACCCCATTCCGGTCCCGCCGGCATGTCAACACCGCCGATAGCGGTCGCGGCTGGCCGTAACCCGCTAAGCACCACGGCCGTGACACCACCCCACCTCGGGCTACGACCGTTATGAGCCTTGTGATAATTTTCCGATCGCTACATCACTAAAATGTGAACTGAAAATTAGACTCCATATGTGTATGAAATAAAGGAAAACTGGCTTTTGACACGAATTTTCTGCGGTCGCGGGTGTCTTTGATATCTGCGTTTTCCCCAACACCAGTGCCGTGCGTGCCGCATGGAGCTTTCAATGGACTCGGCCGCTCGGCGAAGATTACGGCAATTATCTTCACAAAAAACTTAAGAATATCCATATTTTGTTTCTCGATTCCTTGAAATGCGTAGATATGTGCATAGCTTCCGTTTTTCATGGGCATAATTCAAGAAATTTGGCTCGAAAATGCGTTTCGTATTTTTCCAAGATGGCGCATGTTCGCTGCAGAGGGAGGTCAATTGGGGTCATCGGAAGACTCCACTGTTATGGAGGTAGATACACCGAGTTTTATTAACTTCATTTAGCGTCAAATGACGTAATT